CCTGTGTGCCCTCTAATGTCCCTTCTGACCTGTGTCCCCTCTGACCCGTGCCCTCTAATGTCCCTTCTGACCTGTGTCCCCTCTGACCTGTCCCCTCTAATGTCCCCTCTGACCTGTCCCCTCTGACCTGTCCCCTCTAATGTCCCGTCTGACCTGTGTCCCTTCTGACCTGTGTCCCCTCTAATGTCCCCTCTGACCTGTGTCCCCTCTGACCTGGGTCCCCTCTAATGTCCCCTCTGACCTGTGTTCCCTCTGACCTGTGTCCCCTCTAATGTCTCCTCTGACCTGTATTCCTCCTGACCTGTGTCCCCTCTAATGTCTCCTCTGACCTGTGTCCCCTCTGACCTGTGTCCCCTCTAACGTGTCCCTGTCCTGTCCCTCAGCTCGGCGGCAGACTGGAGCCGCAGCGACGCGCTGCAGCAGGAAATGTCTCAGATGAGAATCAAACACCAGGAGGAACTGACGGAGCTGCACAAGAAACGAGGAGAGGTCAGTCATCTGTACGCATACACAGGAAGTGATGTCATCTTCATATTAAACAAACGATTCCATCATTGTGTGAGTGGGCGCTGTTTGTTTATTGTCTCCACTGTTGCCGTGGTAACACCTGCAATGTTACAGGAGTGAGAGCTGATTGGTGGACAGTGAGACTAGCTGATGTGACACAGTCCTGTCCTGACCAGAGAACAGAATCATTACATTACATTACATACAGTTTTATTTACTCATTTAGCTCCGCCCACAGACGTCCATCATGTTCTATAGTTTTTACAGCCAATGAGGAAACTCAGACACTCAGAGGCTTTTATTGTGAAGGAGTGGAGCAGCTGACAGAGGCTTTTATTGTGAAGGAGTGGAGCAGCTGACAGAGGCTTATTGTGAAGGAGTGAAGCTGCTAACAGGCTTTAATTGTGAAGGAGTGAAGTTGCTAACAGAGGCTTTAATTGTGAAGGAGTGACGTTGCTAACAGAGGTTTTTATTGTGAAGGAGTGAAACCGCTAACAGAGGTTTTTATTGTGAAGGAGCAAAGCTGCTGACAGGCTTTTATTGTGAAGGAGTGAAGCTGCTAACTGAGGCTTTTATTGTGAAGGAGTGAAGCTGCTGGTTTCCTGTCAGGGTTGAACTGGTTGAAGTGGAGCTGCTGTGAAAACAGTGTTACTTTAAAAGATGTCCCTACAGAATGACTGAGTCACATGATCTTGTCTGAGTGATGATGATGATGATGAAGGTGATGATGATGGTAAAGGTGATGATGGTGGTGGTGGTGATGGTGATGATGAAGATGGTAATAATGGTGATGGTGATGAAGATGTGTGTGACAGACTGAGTGCTCTTCATATCTGAGATGTTTCCAGGAACAATAGTCATGTTGACTGTGACATGTGACCCCTCCTGACCTTCATTATCCAATCAACACGTCTGACGCATCTTTGTATGGTTGGGTCCTGGAATGTCCTGGAATGTTCTGGAGACATGCTGACTGCTGTGTCTGTGTTGCAGCTGGCTCAGAGTGTGATCGAACTCAACAACCAGATCCAACAGAAGGACAAAGAGATCCAGAGCAATGAAGCCAAGTACGTACTCATTGTAATCAGATTACTTACAGTTCACACACAGTACTCACAGTAATCAGGATACTCACTATACACACTGTAGCAGTATGTCTGTGAGGACAGGGATGATGTCACTGATGATGACTATGATGGCACTGATGACAACGATGATGATGATGATGATGGTGGTGTGTCCTCAGAATGATGGAGTACCAGCAGCAGATCTCAAGTCTGGAGGGAGAGTGCCGAGAGCTGAGGAGCTACCTGCAGGTAAGACACCTCACCTGGACACTCGGGTGTCTCTGCTGAAACTGAGACAGACAGACACAGACAGACAGACAGACAGACAGACAGACAGTGTCCAGACTAGAGGGTGACACGGGAGTGGATTTTCAGTCCTGTCCCGTCCCAGTCCCACAAGAATGACTCCTGTCCCATCCCTCTCCTGTGTTGTGTTTCAGTTACAGTAAAAAATACATCTATGTATATATGTATAGTACATGGATCATACAATGCCTACCTTAGTTGAATATAAACCCAAATATGACATCTAATGTTGTGTTTTGATGTTTATTGCCAATTAATCTAACATTCACTCCACCTTGAAGCTGTTCAGAATGAAACACATTTGATTTCTGATGTGGTCAGACAACACGTCATAAGAGCCAGTTCTGAGAGAGAAAAATGTAGTTAAAGTAGTGTTTGGTTCCTCTGACTGATTTTATTATATATGACATTATTAGATTATTAATACTGAAGCATCAGTGTCAGAGCAGCATGTTACTGTTGTAGCAGGTGTGCAATTAAGTTGGTCATATTCGCTCTTTTTGTTGAGATGGTTTTAGAACAAACCCGGCACACCGGCTCGTCATTTGGTTTAAATCCAGAACACTCCCACACAGGGGCCGTGGTGTTTGGTTTAGGAACAAGTTCCCTGTCTTTCTCTTACACTCAACTCTGTTTTCTTCTCCGCCTCGTCTCCCCCTCACGAAGATTGCACCGTGTGTGTGTGGCCCATAGCCCCGCCTCCCCCACAGAGACAAAGACACTCGATGACTAGAGCTTTCCCTCCTTTCATTATGCTAATGAACCAACTCACCTGGCTGCCAGATGATGCACGAAAGTGAATGCTCTTGTCGTCCAGTCTCTTTGGTGGAGAGAGACGAGGAAAACAAACATGCATGAATATGGCAATTAATCCCTTTTAATTTACCATGCAATTAACCGACTCATCGCATTTCGCGACAGGCCTAATTATGATTCCCAGTCCCGAACGCTCCCATTGACTTTTTTTCCATCCCGTCCCAATCACGTGAAGAATAGTGAAACTGATTCCCATCCTGTGGGAATCCCGAAAAAATGTCAGCCTCTAGTCCAGACAGACAGAGAGACAGACAGATAGACAGACAGACAGACAGACAGACAGACAGACAGTGTCCAGGCAGACGTAACGGTATAACCATGCAGACACATAAGGAAGGTCAGTGATGAGCAGTAAAAGGTCTGATTACCCACAGTCCTCTCCTGCTGCCCTCTGGCTCCCATCAGCCCCTGCTCTGCGCTCCCATCATACTCCAGTGATGCACTGATTGTTCCAGGAGCTGCTGACAGACAGACAGGAAGTGACATCACAGCCTGAGTCTGTACAGAGACCCTACAGGCTCAGTGTGATGTCATCTAACAGAACCAATCAGGATAGAGCATCGGGCTGAGGAAGAGGAGGGAGCTGATCTCAAGTTTTCAAGTTCAACCTGAGGCCTTCATCATGTGACTTATTGGAGGTTAACCCTTTAAGATCAGACAGGATGCTGGCCACATGATCCTGTTATTCATTCAAAGGAACTTTATTAACATGAACACACTGAGACACAGATGACTGAGCACAGAGTACAGGGTGGGTCTGACAGGAGGAGGAGAACGTTATATTAACGTTAGCACAGAGTACAGGGTGGGTCTGACAGGAGGAGGAGAACGTTATATTAACGTTAGCACAGAGTACAGGGTGGGTCTGACAGGAGGAGGAGAATGTTATATTAACGTTAGCACAGAGTACAGGGTGGGATGTCATCATATCGGGACATGGACACCCATTTAGAGTCCTCAGGAACTGATTAACCACCACTGATGATCCATCAGTCTGACCACCTGGTTGAGGCTAACTGTTAGCTTTAGCGTCAGAGGCTGTGTTAGCGTCTGAGGCTGAGTTAGCGACTGAGACTGTGTCAGCATTATAGGCTGCGTTAGCGTCTGAAACTGTTTTAGCAGCAGAGGCTGTGTTAGAGTCTGAGGCTGCGTTAGCGTCTGAGGCTGCGTTAGCGTCTGAGGCTGCGTTAGCGACTGAGGCTGCGTTCGCGACTGAGGCTGCGTTAGCGTCTGAGACTGTTTTAGCATCAGAGGCTGCTTTAGCAACTGAGACTGCGTCAGCATTATAGGCTGCATTAGCGTCTGAGACTGTTTTAGCAACAGAGGTTGTGTTAGCTTCAGAGGCTGCGTTAGCTTCAGAGGCTGCGTTAGCGTCTGAGGCTGCGTTAGTGACTGAGGCTGCATTAGCGTCTGAGACTGTTTTAGCAACAGAGGCTGTGTTAGCGTCAGAGGCTACATTAAGCGTCAGAGGCTGCTTTAGCGACTGAGACTGCGTCAGCATTATAGGCTGCATTAGCGTCTGAGACTGCATTAGAGATGTAACAGTATGAAAATTTCATATCACGGTTATTGTGACCAAAATTATCACGGTTATCATTATTATTGCGGTATTGTTTAAATTTGCTCAAAATGTTCAAAAAGTACTTTTACACACACTGAAATCATTTAACCAAGTTTTATTTTAAAAAACAAATAGAATAAAGAGTACAATGTACTTTCTGTCTAACAAAGTCTAGCATGTTTGATTTTCTTTTTGTCGTTAACAATTACTCCCATCACAGCTGTCACTTTGACTAATAGAAACACAGAGTTAGCTGCTGCCGTAGACAACTGTAGGTCAACAACACCCCAGCGTTTTTAATATTTCCTCTAGGGATGTTACCACACAGAGTAAAAGGGGGAAATGATGGTGTGAAACAGCAGAGGCACTTTGTCAACCCGCTGAGTTAACGTTACTGTCATCAGCATCAATCTAGCAAACGATGTTATTTCTTCATAATGGAGACGGACATAAAGTAATAACATTAACAAATAGTGGCTTTTACTCACCACAACTGCAGCGGCTCCCAGCTTCATCTGAAACAAACTACATTATAGACGGTCTGTTATTTATTAACCCCTCTGTGTGTTTATTTGTTTACTTTTTATCCGCTCTGTTGTCTTTGTAAAGTTAACATATCGCACTGTCATTTCAGACTCAACACTACTTAGACTTTGTCCATCAAACTTTACATAAAATGGAAATTTGTCTTTGACAGTGGCATAAAATAAAAAAGACACACAACACAGATGACACTATGCACAATAAATACATATAAATAAGAATAAATATAAGTAAAATAGACTATGAAATCAGTCCAGTTTGCTCCAGAGAGGAGTTAAAAGATAGATGGGCATGAATAAAATGCATAAAGTGCCTATGCAAAACTAACTGCATAGTAAAATTATGCAGTTAGTTTTGTATAGGCACTTCCTGAATTTGTTTCAAATTAAAAGCCCCTTATAACCCCAGCTGAGAGAATCCCTCCATTTTCTAAATAGACTTTTATTCTGAAACATTTGCAGGAACATGTTGTGTAAGATTCGGTGACTTGTATGTTTACGTACAGTACTTCAAATGTAGCTCCTGCCATCTGCTGACATTTTTACGTTACTACAACAACATGTCGGCTGACACATGAACAGACACAGTGACTGAAATAATAGTAAAAGTAATAAAAACAGGACAAGAATAATCTGATGACATCACACACGTCGTGAAAGACGACCAGGGATAATTGGTGAGTATCAGCATGTAGTGTGTCATGTCTGTCAGCCAAGTCACGGCGCAGTTTTATGACTCCACAATTAATGTGACATAGTGACTTTCAGAACGGGCAGAAAAGTCGTGTAGTGTGTGCCAGGCACAGGTACACTCACTGTATAGTTGTGGGTGGTGGTGGTGCGTTACCACCTGAGGCTGCGTTAGCATCAGAGGCTGCGTTAGTGTCAGAGGCTGCGTTAGTGTCAGAGGCTGCGTTAGCGACTGAGTTTGTTTTTTTATTATTAGCTGCGTTAGCTTCAGAGGCTGCGTTAGCGACTGAGGCTGCGTTAGCATCATAAGCTGCATTAGCGTCAGAGGCTGCGTTAGCGACTGAGGCTGCGTTAGCATCATAAGCCGCGTTAGTGTCAGAGGCTGCATTAGCGACTGAGGCTGCGTTAGCATCATAAGCTGCATTAGTGTCAGAGGCTGTGTAAGCTTGGACCTGTTTGCGTTGAGGCGGTGTTGACATTGCTGATGTCACAGTGAAGGTTGTCAGAGGCATTTATGGTGATGTGACTTCCTGCAGGACCTGGAGAGGGCCAACCAGACGCTGAAGGATGAGTACGACGCTCTGCAGATCACCTTCTCTGCTCTGGAGGAGAAACTGAGGAAGACCACCGAGGACAACCAGGAGCTGGTGTCCCGCTGGATGGCAGAGAAGGCTCAGGAGGCCAACAAGCTCAACGCCGAGAACGAGAAGGACAGCAGGTAACTGCCCCGCCCTCCACACCCTGTTTTAATAAACACCACAGAAATTACATCACACAGCATTATTATATACTGTGTGATGTCACTGTTTCAGACACTCTCTTCTTCTGTGGTGTTTAATAACACTCTGTGATGTCACTATTTCAGACGCTCTCTTCTTTTTCAAGGGATTCAAGGAAGTTTATTGTCATTACCGGAACATGTTGGTACATGAAGGCAACGAAAATTGTACTCAGGTCCCGGTTAGGGAAACAAAGATAAAAGAAACAGTAAAACACTAGAGTAGAGAAAAACAAAACAAAAATGTAGGCACTAAAAATAACATTGCAATAGATATCAATAAATAAAAACATAAATAAGTGTGTAGAGGTAGTGTGAGGATATAGCACCATAATTGCACATGCCCATTAAGTGCATAATTGAAAGAAAATAAATTTAAAACATTAACAAAAAAAAATATAAAACAAAATATATAACAAAAAGGACCAGCAGCAATAAAAGTTCAAGAGTTCATGAGACTCACAGTTTCTGGAAAGAAGCTCTATTTCAGCTGGGTGGTTCTTGCCTTTATGCTGCGCAGCTTTCTTCCTGAGGGGAGGGGGCAAACAGTCCATTGGCTGGGTGGGTGGAGTCCTTCATGATGCAGAGGGCCTTCCTCCTTCACCTGGTGGCATAAGGCCCGTTTCCACCAGAGGAAATTCGGGGTAATTTTACGGGGCCGGGGCCGTTGGTGCGTGTCTCCACCGCAGGAACCACCCCCGAAGGACAGAGTTCTGGAACTTTTACAGGGGCTAAACAAGTCCCTGCCTCGGAGTAGGTACTCAGAACGGCCCCGAAAGACTCCTGGCTGGGGCTTGGGGATTACTTGGTGCTGATTGGATATACTCAAGGAGGGATGTGACGACAACAGAAAGCAACAAAATAGCCAGCATTTTCAAAACTCAGCAGACGAGGGTTAGCTCGATCATAGCTTCCGCCGCCATGTAAAAAAAAACTCAGTAAACGGCCTGTGAAAAAAATATTTTTTCCAGCGGATATCTTAGTTACAACATGATTGAGCTAGCAAAGCATTTTTGTGTTTATGTGTGTTATTTATTCAGTTTTGGGAAATCACGATGTCTAGAAAGCATCAGCTGACAGGGACAGCTAACAGCAGCAGCAAAGCTAACATCAGGACGTCATCTGTTAAAAGCCTCCTGTTGTCGGATACATGAAACTACTCCAGTTAGCTCAATCATGTTGTAACTAAGACATCCACTGGAAAAAATATTTTTCGCCGGGCCACTTCGTGAGTTATTACAGACACCGCTATCGGTTAACGGCGTCCCTACTTCGCCCCGGTCAAAATGGTCGCACAACGATTACGTCACATCCAGAGCCCGTAACTTTACAGGAACCTCCTCCTACTCCGCTCTCTCAGTGGAGACACGGCGGTTGAGAGGGCCGAGCGAGAGGACGTTCCTGTAGTAGTTCCTGCCCCTTAAATAGTACCAGGAACTTTTTCAGTGGAAACGGGCCTATAGATGTCTGACAGAGTGGGCAGGCTACTGTCCGCGATCTTCTGGGCAGTCTTCACCACCCGCTGCAGAGCCTTCCTGTCTGCAGCACAACAGTTTCTGTGGTGTTAAATAACGCCCTGTGATATCACTGTTTCAGACATGCTCTTCTTCTGTGGTGTTTAATGACATGCTGTGATGTCACTGTTTCAGACGCAGACAGGCTAAGCTGCAGAAGGAACTGGCCGATGCCGCCAAAGAGCCTCTGCCCATCGACCCGTTAGTATCTCAACTGACATGATTCGTGTGTCCTCACTGTGTCTTCACTGTGTCCTCACTGTGTCTCTGTCCTCACTGTGTCCTTACTGTGTCCTCATTGTGTCTCTATCCTCACTGTTTCTCTTTCCTCGCTGTCTCTATCCTCGCTGGGTCCTCGCTGCGTCTCTTTCCTCACTGTGTCTCTGTCCTCACTGTGTTTCTGTCCTCACTGTGTCCTCACTGTGTCTCTTTCCTCGCTGTGTCCTCGCTGCGTCTCTTTCCTCACTGTGTCCTCACTGTGTCCTCATTGTGTCTCTATCCTCATTGTGTCTCTTTCCTCACTGTCTCTATCCTCGCTGTGTCTCTATCCTCGCTGTGTCTCTATCCTCGCTGTGTCTCTATCCTCACTGTGTCTCTTTCCTCGCTGTCTCTATCCTCACTGTGTCCTCACTGCGTCTCTTTCCTCACTGTGTCTCTTTCCTCACTGTGTCCTCACTGTGTCTCTGTCCTCACTGTGTCTCTATCCTCACTGTGTCCTCACTGTGTCTCTTTCCTCACTGTGTCTCTATCCTCGCTGTGTCCTCGCTGCGTCTCTTTCCTCACTGTGTCTCTGTCCTCACTGTGTCTCTGTCCTCACTGTGTCCTCACTGTGTCTCTTTCCTTGCTGTGTCCTCGCTGCGTCTCTTTCCTCACTGTGTCTCTGTCCTCACTGTGTCCTCACTGTGTCTCTGTCCTCACTGTGTCCTCACTGTGTCTCTTTCCTCGCTGTGTCTCTTTCCCCACTGTGTCTCTTTCCTCACTGTGTCTCTGTCCTCACTGTGTCTCTGTCCTCACTGTGTCCTCACTGTGTCTCTTTCCTCGCTGTGTCCTCGCTGCGTCTCTTTCCTCACTGTGTCTCTGTCCTCACTGTGTCCTCACTGTGTCTCTGTCCTCACTGTGTCCTCACTGTGTCTCTTTCCTCGCTGTGTCTCTTTCCCCACTGTGTCTCTGTCCTCACTGTGTCTCTGTCCTCACTGTGTCCTCACTGTGTCTCTTTCCTCGCTGTGTCCTCGCTGCGTCTCTGTCCTCACTGTGTCTCTATCCTCACTGTCTCTTTCCTCGCTGTGTCTCTTTCCTCGCTGTGTCTCTGTCCTCACTGTGTCTCTGTCCTCACTGTGTCCTCACTGTGTCTCTATCCTCACTGTCTCTTTCCTCGCTGTGTCTCTTTCCTCGCTGTGTCTCTGTCCTCACTGTGTCTTTATCCTCGCTGTGTCCTCACTGTGTCTCTATCCTCACTGTCTCTTTCCTCGCTGTGTCTCTGTCCTCACTGTGTCTCTATCCTCACTGTCTCTTTCCTCGCTGTGTCTCTGTCCTCACTGTGTCTTTATCCTCGCTGTGTCCTCACTGTGTCTCTATCCTCACTGTCTCTTTCCTCACTGTGTCCTCACTGTGTCTCTGTTTTCACTGTGTCTCTGTCCTCACTGTGTCCTCACTGTGTCCTCGCTGTGTCTCTATCCTCGCTGTGTCCTCACTGTGTCTCTGTTTTCACTGTGTCTCTGTCCTCAATGTGTCCTCGCTGTGTCCCCTCTGTGTCTCTTGCCTCGCTGTGTCCTCACTTTGTCTCTGTCCTCACTTTGTCCTCACTGTGTCTCTGTCCTCAGGGACGATGACATTGAGGTCCTGGCAGAGGATGGAGGGAAGGGCGGCGGAGAGACCTCACCCAACAGGGCACTCAGCAGGACTCCCAGGTCAGAACGGTATACTGGGAACACTGGGGACACTGGGAGACATTTCAAAGTGTGTTTGTCATGACTGTCCTCACTCTGCAGACTAAGGACAGGACTGCATTAAAGACGGACCGAGGACAGGACAGTGTCCGAGACGGACCGAGGACAGGACAGTGTCCGAGACGGACCGAGGACAGGACTGTGTCTGTGTCAGGGACAGATAGATCTGTTAACTCCTTGTCATCTGTTAGAAGAACTAATGAAAAGAGTTCGACATGAAACCCACAACAGCTACAGGAGGCTCCACCCACTCACCGCTCTCTGCTGCTGACATCATCAGAGACGTTTCTGTCAGTCTGTCCTCAGCATCTTTTGTCTTTGTCGTGAAAATTAACCCCTGTTAAAACATCTTAAACCAGTTAGTCTGATGTCAGCAGTGACCCACCTACCACACCTCCCTCTGACAGGTTCAGGTTCACCTCCACAGGTCTTATTAAACCAAATCTGAAATAGTATTTACATCTCCCATGTCACGTCTGTGATAATTAAATGACAGAAGTTGATAGAAGTTTTGTCTTTACCTCTGACAGTTGGATGTCTCTGTGTGCTGGGTCTAAAAACTGTGATCAGGTCTGAGTGGACAGATGAGACTCACGTGGACTTGTGTGATGACGTCCGTCCCCACAGCAGCTGTGTCATAGTCCTGACACCAGGGATGGTGACCATCAGTCAACATTAGGCCCGTTTCCACTGAAGAAGTTCCTGGTACTATTTAAGGGGCAGGAACTACTACAGGAACGTCCTCTCGCTCGGCCCTCTCAACCGCCGTGTCTCTACTGAGAGAGCGGAGTAGGAGGAGGGTTCCTGTAAAGTTACAGGCTCTGGATGTGATGTAATCGTTGCGTGACCATTTTGACCGGGGCGACGTAGGGACGTTGTTAGCTGTTAGCCCTTAGCGGTGTCTGTAATAACTCACGAAGTGGCCCGGGGAAAAATATTTTTTCCAGTGGATGTCTTAGTTACAACATGATTGAGCTAACTGGAGTAGTTTCATGTATCCGACAACAGGAGGCTTTTAACAGATGACGTCCTGATGTTAGCTTTGCTGCTGCTGTTAGCTGTCCCTGTCAGCTGATGCTTTCTAGACATCGTGATTTCCCAAAACTGAATAAATAACACACATAAACACAAAAATGCTTTGCTAGCTCAATCATGTTGTAACTAAGATATCCGCTGGAAAAAATATTTTTTTCACAGGCCGTTTTTAGTGAGTTTTTTTTCCGTGGCGGTGGAACCTATGATCGAGCTAACCCTCGTCTGCTGAGTTTTGAAAATGCTGGCTATTTTGTTGCTTTCTGTTGTCGTCACATCCCTCCTTGAGTATATCCAATCAGCACCAAGTTATTCCCAAGCCCCAGCCAGGAGTCTTTCGGGGCCGTTCTGAGTACCTACTCCGAGGCAGGGACTTGTTTAGCCCCTGTAAAAGTTCCAGAACTCTGTCCTTCGGGGGTGGTTACTGCGGTGGAGACACGCACCAACGGCCCCGGCCCCGTAAAATTACCCCGAAGTTCCTGCGGTGGTAACAGGCCTATAAAGAATTGATCAGTGGGAGGGGTTAACTGTGGTGAAGACGTTTAATGTCCCTCAGACTCTGATCCAGAGTCCGTCAGGGTCTGATGGTGACAGGTGATGTCATGATGGAGAGGTGATGACATCACACCAGACTCTGTTTACATCATACCTATATCTCTGTGTGAGTGTGTGTCCTCTGATGTCTCTGCAGTAAGAAGATGTCCCAGCCTCCTCCTGGTGGTCTCTTGGACTCCATCTCCAACATCTTTGGGTATGTAGCTGTAAGATCATCAGAGCTGCGTCCAGGTCTCTGCTCCGCCTCATTGACCACCTGTCTGTCTGTCTACCTGTCTGTCCGTCTGCAGCGTGTCTGAGTGTGTCCAGCCTGGACTCGTCCCACCACTCTCCAGGTGAAGGACTGTGTGTTCACCTGTTCGCACTGTCAGCGCTTCGATTGACAGCTCGCCCCGTGCTGACGCCTCGTTAACACTCATCATCATCATCCTCATCATCTGTGTGACGTGTGATTGGCTGTCAGCAGAGATTAGTCCTGTGATTGGCTGTCAGCAGCAGAGGATGTGTTGTGGTCGATCGTGGCGCTGTCAGTGTGAACACTCGGTGAAGTTTGTGGTGTCGAGATTATTGTTGGTGATAATCTCAGTACTAAATCAATAATCAGTTGTAGCCTGTAGAGACTGTGTGTGTGTGTGTGTGTGGACAGAAGACACGCCTGCTGTCTTCTTCCTGTGATGTCCCATTGATGATGTAACAGCTCATCGTTAACCTCCCACACCAACACGATAATGACATGATGATGACATGTCAGTGAGTGTAAACATTAACAATAAAAGGTCAGATCACAGTATTGATCGACAGCAGGTGATTGGTCGATGAGGTGGTGAGCTCTGCCAATCACAGAGACAGTTTGAGGCAGTATTGATTATCACCTGAAACATGTGACAGTGATCAACCCTGAGTCAAACCATCATGGACTTTGTCTTCTCTCAATCAGCTGATCAGTGACTGTAGGCTGGTATTGATCATGTGTTTATCCAACAGTTCAGAGTTACGTTCGGTCTGAATTCATTACAACAAGGAATAAAAACAAGTCTCCATGTGTGTGTGTGAGAGAGAGAGAGAGAGAGAGAGAGAGAGAGAGAGAGAGAGAGAGAGAGAGAGAGAGAGAGAGAGAGAGAGAGAGAGAGAGAGGGAGAGAGAGAGGGAGAGGGAGA